CGCACGGGCGCGGGCGTGGGCCGCCTGGTCAGAGCCGCCCAGGGCTCCGTGCTGAAGCAGCGTCTGGCCCTGACGGTCATCGAGTCGAAGCCCGCCAGGTCCTTGGCGGGGCCGTAGCTGGGCTGGAAGCTGCGGCTGGCGTTGGTGGGCGCGCAGAAGGCGCCGGCCTGCTGCAGGCGCGCCTGGCGCCCCTCCGAGCTGCTTGTTGTGCTGGAACTTCTCGGCGTTGTCCTGGAGCACCCTGAACTGGGTGGCGGGCTGCGTCTCCACGTCCTCGGGCGCGGCGTGCACGGCCTTGTGGGGCCGCGCGTTGTAGGCCTCCGTGGCGTCGGCCACGTGGTCGTCCCACTTGCCGCCCCGGCGGGCCACCTCGCCCGCGAGGTCCTTCTTCAGCGTCTGGATGGTTCGGTCCACCACGGCCGTGGCGTTCCGGTCCTCGGGCCGCTTCTGGCGGTGCACCACCCCCTGGGGCAGGTTCGCCGGCCAGGCCTAAGACAAAGGCCAAACCGAGGAAGGATGGCTGAGGAGGCGGCGCTGGACCTGCTGCGGCGGCTGGCCGGCGACTTCAATGTGAGGGACGCCCGGAAGCTGTACCAGATCGCGAAGCGCGAGTTCCCCGACCAGCCGGCCGTCACGGTGAACCGGGCGAGGGACGCCCTGAGGGGGGATGTAGCGAGGCAGGTGCTGGCCCCGAAGCCCCGGAGCCTAGGCAAGAGTGCGGCCGAGGGGCCCAACGACCGCCTGCAAGCAGACTTGATCGATTTTTTCCAGAACACAAGGAGCGCCAAGAAGTACGGCCTCGTGGTCACCGACGTCTTCACCAGGGAGGCGGTCACCAGGGCTCTGCCCAACAAGAACGCGGAGACGGTGGCGCGCGCGGCCGCGGAGGCGATCCCCGACCTCGTCCAGGACGAGGGAAACTACGTCGTGACCACGGACGAGGGGAACGAGTTCCGCACCCTGGAGGCGAACCTGCCACAGGGGGCGGTGCACCGCCAGAAGCGGCCCGAGGACCGGAACGCCACCGCCGTGGTGGACCGCACCATCCAGACCCTCAAGAAGGACCTCGCGGGCGAGGTGGCCCGCCGAGGCGGCAAGTGGGACGACCACGTGGCCGACGCCACGGAGGCCTACAACGCGCGCCCACACGAGGCCGTGCACGCCGCGCCCGAGGACGTGGAGACGCAGCCCGCCACCCAGTTTAGGGTGCTCCAGGACAACGCCGAGAAGTTCCAGCACAACAAGCAGCTCATGGAGGGGCGCCAGGCGCGCCTGCAGCAGGCTGGCGCCTTCCGCGCGCCCACCAACGCCAACCGGAGCTTCCAGCCCAGCTACGGCCCAGCCAAGGACCTGGCGGGCTTCGACTCGATCACCGTCAGGGCCACGGACGGCAGCGAGACGCTGCTGAAGCACGCGCTGCCGGTGCCCAGGGGCAGCGCGGAGCCCAAGGCGGCTCTAACGCGGCGGCCCCCGCCCGCGCCCGTGCGGCAGCTGCGGGACTTTAACGCAGGCCCAGCAGTCCGCTTGGCGCCTGCAGACAGGCCGCTGCGGCGCTTGGAATAGCTGCCTGGGCACACGGAGTTGCTGAGCAGTTCGAAAGAAAAGATGGATGCGCAACTGAACCTACTTGCCAGAATCGCCATCGGAGGAGCACGTGG